CGCGCCCCTCAGCCCCGGGATCCGATCAACCCGGGGACGCGGACGAGGGGGCACGGCGACCCCTATAAAACAAGGATTGGGAGTGACGAGTGGGCCGGATGCGGGAAAGCGGGTAATAGGGGGGGGGGGGGGGGGGAGCCGGCGAGACAAGGAGCGGGAGCTCACGTACCGGCAGAGTCGCTACGCCCTGAGAGGAACAGCTTGCACCGTCCACCTGTTACCGGAGCCTAGGACCCGAGGGGGGGGGGGGGGGGCAAGTCCCCTACACCGGCCGAAGCCAGTGCCCCTGCAGGAGCATCGGGGAGGTCTTCCTCGACAAGGTGAGTCCTTGGAGCAGCCAGCAGGGCATCGATGAGGTCTACCCTCGACAAAGTGAGTCCTTGGAGCGGCCAGCAGGGCATCGGGGAGGTCTTCCTCGACAAGGTGAGTCCTTACCGCCCCGGAGGTCACGCGGCGACGGTGGTTGTGATGGGGTGACGGCGCCACGGATAATCCCAAGCGGGGAGGGCGGGCAAGATCCACGTGAGGACTAGGCATGGACAGGGCAAAAACAGATGTCTTCTCTCAAAACTCGAAATTCCTGGGATTTCGGCAGCTTTTGTTTCCTGAGCCAGATATTTGCTATATATATATATATATATAATATATATATATATATATATATATATATATATATAACCTGAACTGCACCGACAAAACGCGCCGTCTATGGGTCAACCACATCGAGTGTACCATCAAGCCTTACGGGAGCAGCTGGCTCGCCGTGTGCAAAACATTTGGGACACATTATAGCGAAACTGTTATCGTACGAAATCGGTTATTACGACCAAGACCGTTGATTGTTCACTACGTAAGACCTCCCCGAGTGGTGGATCGGTTCAGCCCACCGACCAGAAACAGATACGATTCTGTTAACTTCAAAATCCAAAATACTGGCGCCCTCAGTCTTATGACACTTTTAAGCCCGCAGACTCTAACAGCACGGGCTGGCGAACTTTCTGTGAGCTTTAACGTAGCCATCACGTGGAGTTCTGTGGGCTTTCAGATTTGGCAAATTACGAAAACTGAACAAAGCGCGAAGAGAATAAGCAAACTGGTGGTGTTTGTTGGCAGCCTCCGCCAACCATATATGCCATATTATCGTATTATCAAGTCGTCTGGAAGTTTCGTGTCTTGTCGGGGTCAGTGTTGCCTATAGCTGGTCTTGGTCAGGACCTTTATGCACGAGTCTGTTTTGTGGCGTCTGTGCTAGACATGCCAACGATTTTTTGTAGTTTCAAGCGTTCCAGCAGCAAGAGATTTCGCGTCGTGGCTGCCTGTACAAATATGATCTTGTTGATAACCCACAAACTGCGATTTTTTCCACATGTACGTCTTTACAAACGTAAGATAGTGACAGAGACAGAGACAGAGACGGAGACAGAGACAGAGGCAGAGACAGAGACAGAGCCAGAGACAGAGCTAGAGACAGCGCCAGAGACAGATGCCGATACCGGTACCGGTACCGGTACCGATACCGATACCGATACCGATACCGATACCGATACCGATGCCGATACAGAGACAGAGACAGAGACAGAGACAGAGGCGGAGACAGAGACAGAGACAGAGACAGAGACAGAGACAGAGACAGAGACAGAGACAGAGACAGAGACAGAGAACAGAGACAGAGACAGAGACAGAGACAGAAGGACAGAGACAGAGGACAGAGGACAGAGACAGAGGACAGAGGACAGGGACAGAGGACAGGGACAGAGGACAGGACAGAGGACAGAGGACAGAGGACAGAGGACAGAGGACAGGGGACGAGGACGGAGACAGAGAGACGGGGTCTGTCTTCTGATAGCAAGTTGTTTGCTACCAGATATTCATTAATCCATTTAAAAACGATTTTCTCCAGAAACTTTGAGGACAGAAAAGAAGATCGGTGGGGGGGGGGGGGGCGAAAGCTTGGCACATCTGAGTTGGAGCTTTTCTTTTTGAGTATTGCCATAACTATATGTTTCCAAATCTTAGGAAGTTGGCCTGATTGCAGAGATGTGTTGGAAAGTTTAGAGAGCGGCTGGCCAGGTGAGAGTGCTGCTAGCGTTAAAAGTTCGTTGAGTATACCGTCAGAACCATTATATTTGCTCATGTTTAGTGAATATACCTACGTGCCTCGACCTCAGTTACATGAATATTTTCAAGTACGGAAAGGTCAGGATCTTTGATAGGGTTGGTGGGAAGATGTAGATTGCGTGCATCAATAGTACGTGTCTTGTGTCAATCTCTCTATCTCGCAAAGTGGTCATTTAGTAAAGTCGTTTTATTTTTGTCATCTGCTATTGACAATCCGTTATGTCCAGTAAGTGCAACTATTGCATTTTTTATTTACGCCTTCTAATTTTACTACAACATGGCATTCAGGATATTTTTCGCAAAATAGTGTAATATGCAGGGTTGTCTTTCTTGTACTTCAGAGTTTGTTTACTTTTTGTGTGTATGTGTGCATAGATAAGACAAAAGTAATAGCTTTATTCCCCGGGGAAAAACCAGGATATTGGAGATATAGTTTGGTTGTTAGGTCGGCAACATGTCCTTATCGAAAAAATAGCAGAAGAACACTTTTTTGTTGTTTCGATAAAGGTATGTTGCCGAAATATCAACCTAACTATATTTCCACTCTCCTGGTTTTCTCCGAGGAATAAGGCTTCTAATACTGTCTAATCTATGTGAATAATGTTCCTCGCTAGTGCACTGAACGTCTTAGGAATGTGTGCATTTTTAGGTCGCCCGTTGAGGTCGTTTGTTGCCTTTATTTGTCGTCTTCAGTTCGCCCAGTGCAAAGACGTGTCGTGCCTTCGTGCTTGTTGAAGCAAGCTGTAACGTTTGAGTTCAGTAAACCCCGAGGTTTGTATAGGCTCCTTTTATTTTGCGTGCGTTTGGGACTGACTTATTGATCTGCCAGAAAAATCGCAGGCGCGAATGGTCAGGTAGTGGTGTCCATGACCCGATATGACATTGTGTCCCGGTCAGTCGCAGTCAAAGATCGGACAGTAGCCTAGATCAAGTGATCTGCTCTTCGGTAACCATGGAAAACGGCTCATCTTGTGAGGCGTTACCAAGCTGGTGGCTCTCATGAGCGATGGTATGGTTTTAGCATTGCCCTGACTGATGTGCAGCTGAACGAGGCGCGTAAGACCGTATTGAATTTCAGGAGGGAAACACGTACATGTTTTTTAAGACAAACAAATATCAGCGATGGGTGCCAACACTGGTTTGCTGCGGATCGGCCGCAGTTTTTAATGTTCGCCGTCATAATGTAATAATCGTTGTTTAGCTACCTCATTCGGCATTACCGTTATGTTACCGTAAATCAGTCGGCGAGGCAAACGAGGGGCCTCAGTGACCACAGACCCTTTTACAGGCAAAGTGTAACCACTGACGTCAGCTCAAGACGCAGCATGCTTTGGTCAAACGGACCATGGTTGTGTTTTGCTTTGTTGTGTTTTGCCCACACAAAACAGCATCGAATAGATCAGGTGGCACGGCGAAATGGGTTTCAGTTCCAGTAACATTCGTTGTTTGGTTGCGATCCTGACTTCAACTCACATTTCGTTCCGCAATGGGGCCGGGGACGGGATAGCGACCGGGGTATACTGACATTGTGTAGACACACCACAGGTATCCACGGGTGACGGTCAAACGAGTGTCAAGATGACCGCTGCTGGCGTCGTTTGACGCCAGTCATGACTCCAGTGTGGTATCGGAGGCTCACGTGGCAGCTGTATGCGGGCGTACTTGGAGTGCCAAAAAGCAGGAGTGAAGTTTTGCCAAAAGATCGGGGGGGGGGGGGGGGGTGCTGAGCGGTAGAAGTGGCTAAACAAACACTCACAATACACGAAAAGCGGGTTTCTTTCGAATGTTAGCCACGTCCTTATAAATGTTGGTCGGGTAGAGGATGAAGCCTCCTCTCTTTCATCAAATGCATAGACCATTACGTCCTGCCATCAACCGCAGACTGTTGACACTCCCAAATGTTGTGTATGTTTGCACGCCATGTATAAAGGACCTTCAGTGAGCTCGTTCTTTAACAGGAGTTGTCGCGGTTAGTGTTAGTGTCGTGCACTATTGCTGGCATAGATTTCCCCACTAGAATGAGGGAGCTTCCTATCAATTTCATATGCAACTAGGCGTTACCTGATCTATGGGTTCGGAATTCTTATGGTGACTAATCGTCCTTAAGTATATCAGGGGGTGCTGGTTATCACGATGTTATCAAGTGAATTTCCAGTTTTTGTCAACACAACCATTGCTTGCTTGTTAACGTCGTTTAAACTGTGTCTCCCGGCAGCGCATGTCGAGTATTGTTAGTGAGGGTACTTCTAACGCATAACGCCGGAAAAGTGGGAAATAAAGGCCCTTTTGCTTAAATATGAATTGCCTTTTGCTGAGGCTGTGCTCCACCACATGTGAACACTAACTGTCTTCAGCATCTTTTCATGTGTTCTATTTGGCCCTACTCAAAGGTTGCACTGATCCGAGCTGTTGATCTGTAATCTGCATGTTATTATTTTGACACTTAACCAGTGCTTGAAACTACACCAGCAACCAGACTGCGTGCAGTCTATTGACCGTGTGTCGACAGAAGTGACGCGGCCTAAACCGACGGCATTAATGGCTCGTGCGACAATGGGACGTAGATAGTGAGTCGATGGTTTTGGTCGAGCCAGAGGTGTTTCGGACCAAATCTGTGTTGTTTCTGAACGAATCAGCGCACGACATTGGCCGAGCCGACAGTGTCGCTAAACAAGGCAGCAGTGCGCCTGGGCGGTCGGGTTGTGACTGTCACTGACTGCGCGCTGTGGTGCGTCACCATCCAAGTCAGCGGTGTCAGTTGCCCTCCCTGCCGTGTCAGAGCGGCCGTGGCTGCGTCAGCCGACCCGTCCTGCGGTGACACGGACCACACTACTGTTGTCACGAGGCACGCTGTGACGGGTCGTGTGCTGGGTCTGTTTCAGCTAACAGCACCGGTTGTGCTGGACACGTACACGGCGTTCGTCAACAACTGGCCCACAGCGCGGGAGGCGCTGCGGCGCGCCTGTCAACTTAAGCCCGGACTGGCCAAGTTTCTGGAGGTGAGGGCCCTGGCTCAGGGGCGCGTGCGGTGGCTTGGCGCCGGTCACCGACGACGCGCACAGCTCGGTTGGATACCAGCCCTTTCCAGCCAGCCATATGGGCCACTTGCCCGGCATCAGAGTTTACAGCCATGTCGCAGACACATGTTCGCTCCCAAATGCAGAGCCGCGTGGACCGAGCGTGGGATTAACGCGCTGGCGGAGCGGAACAGCCGGGTACAGTTTTCAAAAACAGCTCGACCGCTCCTGGATGGAACGCCAGATGGCTAAAAACAACTAAAGCTGGTCACATGTTGTTCAGCTCATTGGCACTAATAGGTAATGAACAAAAACGGAAAAAGTTGAAGGACGAACTGTCAAAAGGAATTGAAGTCTCCAGGGATGCGGGTCGAATCGGAAACAGACGAAACGAAAGGAACCCGACAGGGTACATTTGGGTAGCGAAACAGCCAAAGGAATTAAAATCGACAAGGATAACATATTATAAAACACTGCACAAGTGGAGACCAAAACACCGGCGGGAATCTTGAACAAGGCCCTGGTGTTTGTTAAAAAGCTTGTAAGGATCAGACAACCAAGGTCTGGTACATGTGCAAAGTCAATGGGAACCAGGAACTAGGCTTTGGTGCTTGTTAAGAAACCAGCTGGAGTGGGGAACCTATCTTTTTATCTGCGGATAAAACAGTGAGGACCATGAAACAAAGTGCTGTGCTTGCAAAACAACGGACAGAATCCGGGAACTAGGGTATTAAACAGCCTTGCGGAGCCGAGGATTCAAGATCTCGTTTCCAGAAGGGGAAGTGAGAACCACGAACGAACATTGAGAGGCCGGCACGTGTCTGTCCAGCAACAAGGTTAACAAAAAATGGCATTGGCCACAGGCGCCGCCGCCGTGCTCACCATCCCGCCGTGGGCGCCCGTCTTGTTCCTGAATGTGTAAGAAAATGGTCACAGCGGGAATTTCGATGAGCATGTGAGGAGGCTAGTTGGATGCCCATAGACAGAGCCTAGCTGGGTGCCCACAGTAGATCGCCCACCTGGTAGCTTTAAGGTGCGTTGAGTATCGTTCGGTCCAAAGGCTCGAAGGCTGGCTTCCTGCCAGGAGTGTTTGCCAGGCGAGCGTGGGCGGGCCCGAATCCGAGGCCTCAGGGACGCCAGGCCCTGAAGCCCATTGAATCCGACGGCGTATCAGGGCGCGGTCGGCAACATCCCCTTTCATGGCAGGCGTCAAATCATTAGGACTCTTCCGGCTTAATTCTTCTTGCCTGCCGACTTGTTTGCTGTTATCCAAATCATCGTTAATCTATGTGCAATTCGTATCAACTGAGATGTTTTGTCATCTGAGTTTTATCACTGTCGATTTTTATCACTCGCGACTTTTCTGGTTTGAGTCTTGTTCCCACCAATTTTTTCCGTTTGACGTGTTTTAAATATTTATCACTGCCGGTGTTTATTGCTTTCGACTTTTCCGAATCGACTTCTAACCTTGTCAACTTTTATCCTTGTCGACTTATCCTTCGACCTTTATCCCTGCCGACTTCGTGGAAGACTGGCGACAATGGTAGATGATTGTCAGTGTTTGGTCGCGCCCCACGTGCGGGGTGCATACCTTTACCGGCTGGATTCGCCCCAAATACATCACCCAGCTACCCGTCTATGTAAGAAGCTCATCGCCACGCCTGACACTGCCGTGAGAGCTGCTGCGATTGGGGTCCAATGAAAACGGTCACAAAAGCTGAGCACGCGCGCTGCGTGAACATCGTGGTACGGAAACAAGATTTGGATATCGTTGGATAGCCCCGACAGCGGTCTCCATTCAGAGAACTTGTGTCGGTTTGCTCATGGTTTCCGGCACTCCGAAAACCTTGAGTACAAATATTTGCACGCGCCTGCGGGCATGCTGTTAATCGTCGGCCACAGAAGTACGTACCCCATAATGAGGTCCATACTGCCAGCGGTCTTGAGCTGATAGCACCCTCCGTTTGGCTCGTACCCTGGCTCACGTGAATTCTGCAGAGGTCCGGCTGATTGCACGTCCACGCGCCACCGATCGGTTCAAGACCGGCACCACAGGCTTTCTGCCGGTCACATGGTGTCACTCGTGCCCCAATCCGTCGGCACACCTGAGCGCAGCGCTCGGAAGCTTGTACATCACATACAGATGGACAGAGAGAAATTGGATCCCGAACTTTTATTCGCGACTGCCATGTGTGAAATCTTGTTTCACGAGATGCGTACAGCATACGGTTCCAGCTCTCTCGGCTGTGAACCAGTGGCTGCGTTTTTGATCGGCATGGACTTGGGGTGAAAATCAATCGATATTCGATTTTGACTTGATGTTTCCGATGCAGGATAGCTCTCCATATGGGCTACAATCTATGAGATTGAATGACCGATTTAAAACTGATGGTACTCAAATGGGCCTGAAGACGAGCTTTCGTGCCCGTGTCATGTCCACATTCACGTGCCCACCCGCCACTCGACACCGCAAACTGTCCCATGCGCATGCGAACCGTGTGGAAAATTCCCGTCCCGTGTCACACAGTTGTTCACCAGCAGGTACATTAAAGGTGAAACGGGCAAACAGACAGACGGACGAAAGCAGGCATGTTGAGCCTCTTTACACAAGTGGCTGAAAAAAATAAAATGGCGATATCCACATATTATCGCACTCAAAAAGAGAGAAAAAGAGAGGGGGAGAGAGGGGGAGAGAGAGAGAGAGAGAGAGAGAGAGAGAGAGAGAGAGAGAGAGAGAGAGAGAGAGAGAGAGAGAGAGAGAGAGAGAGAGAGAGAGAGAGAGAGAGAGAGAGAGAGAGAGAGAGAGAGAGAGAGAGCAGAGAGAAAGAGGGAACGTAATGGGCCGTTGGTTATCGCTTTGGCTTCCACATGAAGGGCCCGGGCTCGAACCTCAGATGTGCCAGGGCTTATCAACGCTGTTATGACCACTTCAGCCGTTAGCGCTTCGTAAAAGGGTGTGCAACGGCGTGGAACGTGTTCACTTAAAAAATCTTACACAGATTGTACAGATGTCGCTATTTCATTTGTTGGCTGCTTTTAGACAGCGTCGATTTGGTTGTCGTGGAACCCCGTCACTGCGCGTGATCTTGCCAACGTTTTTTTTCTTTTTCTCAAGTGTTCACATGACTTAGACAGCTGTCACCAATTCCGACAGAGCTTGGAGCGCTCAAACAAACGGAAGCTCAGCTTCACCCACCTTCTCATCATGCCCGTGCAGAGGATACCCCGGTACGAGCTCCTACTCAAGGTGAGATAAGACGCCAGTTACCGTAAACTGCTTCCTGCCAGATTCCTGCTAGGACCAGCAAGCCCTGGAAACTTTTGCTATGACCAGCTTTAAGTGCCCCTATGCACATCTTTACAAGTTTCAAAAACGAATCAATTTCTCAACATCACGCCTGGAACAAGGTTTCCGCACTTCCGGCTGCCATTCAGCCGGTGTTTGTGCTGCGTATTATGCAGTTTTATGCTGCCATGCCCGCACTCCGCCGGCAGCAACTGGTGAATCACACACCACCGGAACATCCGGACCTGGGCGCGCTGCGCTCGGCGCTCAGCGAGGTCCACCAGCTGGCCTCGCGCATCAACAGCCTGGAGCAGGAGACCATGCAGAACGAGGCACTACAGCAGATGCTGCGCGAGGTGGAGGCGGCCGTGGACGGGCTGGACGGTCTGGTGATGCCCGATAGGTGAGGGACAGTACGGCCTGGTGACGTCTGGCAGGAGGGGACAGTCTGGTAATGCCTGACAGTCTGACAGCCCCCCACCCCTGGCAGGTGAGGCAAAGGACGGGTTGGTGACGTCTGGCAGGAGGAGATAGTCTGGTGATGCCTGACAGGTGAGGCACAGTACGGCCTGGTGACGTCTGGCAGGAGGGGAGTCCGGTGATGTCCGATAGGTGAGGGACGGTACGGCCTGGTGACGTCTGGCAGGAGGGGACAGTCTGGTAATGCCCGACAGGAGATGGACAGTACGGCCTGGTGACGTCTAGCAGCAGGGGACAGTCTGGTGATGCCCGACAGGTGAGGCACATCACGGCCTGGTAACGTCTGGCTGGAGGGGACAGTCTGGTAATGCCTGACAGGTGAGGCACAGTGCGGATTGGTGACGTGCGGCAGGAGGGGACAGTCTGGTAATGCCTGACAGGTGAGGCACAGGGCGGATTGGTGACGTGCGTCAGGAGGGGACAGTCTAGTGATGTTTGACGGGACAGGGACATAATAGGATGGATTTGACGCCCGAGAGATGAGACTGTTCTAGTGGCGCCCGGCAGTTCATAGTGGTAACAGTCATCATATATTGCCATAACGTCCGCAAAAGGCTACGTATTTCGCAGGTGACGTGGCAAAATTAGCTAAAACTGGCTGCCAGTTATCATCAAACTCAGGCATGACAATGTAAATGTTAATTAATACTTAATTTGTTGTCGTTATGTGCGACATTGCCGCCAGCAAATCGCATTATTAGTGACTGAACAAGTGAAAGCGATGACTTCCGTATGACCCCTAAATCGTGACGATCCTAGTCACATCGAGTGATACGAATATTGGTGATGGTGTTAATTGAAAGCGGCGAGGACAAGCATGCTCTGAGACTGGATGTCATATATTGTAGGGCAGTAAAACTGAAGAACAACTGCATTTAATGCACCAAAATGTTCGAGCTGTGTTTCATCACAATGGCAACAAGTGATTACCGATGGAATAATTATTCGGAACGTCGTCTTCGTCTGGTGTTTTAGCGTAATGCAATTTGTTCCGTCAATTCTCCGGCCGTCTTCAGATGCTGTTGAGTACCGGAAAGGACCTCTCTCCATGGGATTGACGGGGTTTGAACCAGGGACTTCTCATTGCGATTCCAGCCTTCTATCATTAAGCTGACCGAGCAGGACGTGAGCAGGACCGAGCAGGACCGGGCATGTTGTGTACATACTAACACGTCAGACGAGGTCAACAGCCGGAACAATGGCTCAGTCGGTGACACTAATACTTCGTCTCAATCATTGAGTAGAACAGGAATTCGCAAGTACTGTGCTGCTTGTTTTGACTTCATTGAAGGCGTGCAAAACTTGATGAAATTTGAACCATGTTACGAATGCAAACCTAGCGATGCAGACTCAGCATGGGTGTCACAATTACAGATGCACAATAGATGTGCTGAGCAGCGTTGCGGAACATTATCCTAGTCATTTGAAGATACAACTTCATGTGAATATGCAACCTCTGCTGTCTGCTTCAAAGTCAAATAGAAAAATGGTCCGCTTTGTGCAAAATTTCAGATTTTTGTATATGTTCAGTCAAGCCCGCATCTAACCAATGTCAAGAAACATGCGCAGTTTTGTTGCAGCGTTGATACACTTTTATTCTTGCCTTGCTGAGAGGCTTAACACGTGCTCCGATGGGAGGGCAAATTGACCCCCCCCCCCCCCGAAGGTTTTTCCAAAATGGTTTCCGAACGGCGCGGCGTAACCGGACCAAATTTTGCATACCTGTAGACAATTGAATAGCAGATCGTTTGGCATCACAAATTTATATTTACCTTGTAAAGTCGCTGACCTATAGCAGGTCAAAATCAGACCATGGTTTCAGCGAAGGCAATTTCTATGGAATCATTTAATCTGATCCAAAAACGGAGTGTTAGACGAAGCCATACATCTCTGAGATGCTTTCTTAGGCAACACAGCAGCTGAATGAAAATTACATGGATCTAAGGTCAGGTATGAAGGCCACGCCAAGGGCAAAACCAAACTGTTTGGTTAGTCTAGGGTTTTCTGTGTGGGATAGTTTCTGGAGCTCATTTTGAGTTTATTGATAGCAGGAACCGCATTATACATCTTCCATGGACTTCTTAGAGGTCAGAATAGGTCATTGACCTAAAATGAATGAACTAGGTCAACATTTTGTCTTAGGAACATACTGCCTAGCGTAATCTTTGTCGCTTAGTCAAATGCAAAACTCAAAGCAATCTTGTATGATTTTGGTCACCTTGACCTTCAAAAGGTCACTGACCTCGAATGAGAATGTGACCTTTTGCCTAGAAACGGTTATCTGCGTTCTGGGGTATCTAGGTATCTAGATACCTAGCGAAGGGTATCTAGCCGGCCGCCAGGGCGCGTTTTAAAGTTGCACTTCGAAATGTGACACTTTTAGGACGTCGTTTCAAGATAAGCAGGTCATTTTGAATTATCTGAGCTGAAAAAATGCGAGCTGGTTGACTGTAACGACTGAAAGCTGCAAGCAGTTAGGAGGGGAAATGTTGCGATGAAATGCCATACCGATTATCTCAGTGGTGAACTCTAACGCCGGAAGGGAAAATATTGCGTGCTTATCACAGCAGTCAAATTCAGGTGCAGCATCTTTCGACCGAGGCCCTACATGACTGTCCACTAATGATCGGCTTCAATTTAAAAAATATGGGCAATTAAAGACTTTGGGCACTTCCGGCCTATTTTTTTTTTATTTCGGTATCATGATCGTAAAAGCGGACGACATGGGTCACAGAGTGTGGATGTTGCGGCATGTTGATAATGTATGCTTTCCCCGATCATCATAAATAGGTCGTCAGGTAATATCGCAATGTGCAAATGAAGAGCAGTATCAGACATCTCTTACCAAAATGTTACGCACAAAAGAAAATAAATCCAAAAGTATGGTACATATTTCGCCGCCTCTCGCAGCATGGCACGTAGATGACAACTATTCCTAAACAACAAGTGACTTTTTCAACAGGTTAAAACATAAAAGTAGAGAGATGCAGTAATGGAAGTGTGAGGGGGGTGGAGTTAATCAGGCCATTCCCGTTCGCCCGTCAACTTTGAAATCGTTCCCGTATCCCTGTTTGTGACATGTTGTATTTCCCCACATCACCCGTAGGATATTGATTCGTCACGACCAGGTGACCATGACGACTACTCTGGGCACCAAGAAGGAGCGCTGCCTCTTTCTCTTCAACGATCTGCTTGTGATCGCCAGCATCAAGCGGCGGGCGGGAGCCACCCGCAAGCCCTCCACGTAAGCGGACGCCGAATAGCACAACCAAACTGTCACCCTGTAGGATTCCACATTCGGACGTTCGTTACCGCAGTTTTAAGGTTGCTCAACGTTGTTACGAAACTCTCTTAAAAGCGATGCGTTGCTCTTTATAGCAGATTTTGCATCCAGTGGCAAAATACACGAATGTCGAGAAAAAGACCGAACGAGGCATATGCATATCGCCGCTTGGCCTGCCTGGAGCCTCTTCTGCCGCTCTGCTGCGACACATGTTCAGGACACAGTTCAGGCGGGGCAGCCGGGCGCCAGCCCCGCCTCAGCCATCGGAGCTGGGTCTGAGACTGACCGTGACCTATTCCAGAGCACTGGCTGACGGCTCGGTCACGGGCCTGGAGGCCAACAAGTACAAACTGCTCATGAAGATTCCTCTGGCCGATCTGAACGTTGCGCGCTGTAAGTCTGGCCGATCTGAACATTGCACGCTGTAAGTCTGGCCGATTTGAACATTGGGCGCTGTAGGTCTGGCCAATCCGAGCATTGCGCGCTGTAGGTCTGGCCGATCAGAATGTTCAGCGTTGTAAGTCTGGCCGATCTAAGCCGCGCGCTGTAAGTCTGGTCGATTTGAATGTTGAGCGCTGTAAGTCAGCCTGGCGGCATGCAGCAACTGTCCTGTGAATAATGTCGAAAAAGGGGGAAAGCTCATTCCCACTTTCCGCTCGAGTCTGTTTTCCCGAGTACAGTTTAGTGTGGTCCGCTGTCAGATTTTGCCCTAAAAGTGACATCATTGTGCAGCTCGCTTTTATCGGTATGTTACTGAATAAGATGAAACATTTTTAGGGACGGGAGCGGGGTGGGGGGGGGGAGGGGTCAATCAATGCGTCCAACTTACACGATTTGGCCAATGTGCGACATCTGCTTGACTTCTTATGCGGCATGGTGATCTACCTTGATGCCGAATTGTAGCAATAGCAGCTAACGCGGTATTCTCTCATCGGCCAAATCAAAGTGAGGCGGTACCTCCGTTTTACCACCGCCGGTGTTGGGATTGCGTGGTGTGTTACTATGTGCTATACTTCTTCGCAGCCAAAGACGAGAATCTGAGTTCGCTTCTGAAGGAGGTAGAAAAGATTGAAGAGGACATTGCAACCCTGCGTCAGATCGGGGTGATGGTCTGCAAACTGCACTGTAATCACTATCAGGTGGGGTAGTGGGGAGGACGCAGCCAACGGCAACCGGCTGTGATCAAAAAGTTCACAGAACCCCTAAAAAAGACAAAACATATGCTTCACAACGTTGGCAGCACATACGGCAAACCACGGAGGCATGCGGTATGTGACAGTCATGCGACATAATAGGGGGGGGGGGGGGGGGTAAACTGAAATGACATCTTGGAGGTCATTGGTGTAATTTACATTCCTGTCCTTCTTAAGGCCTTAACCCCGCTAGTGTTTTAGTGCACGCCTGCAAAGATGTGCAGACTGTCTTGTGCGGACTATTTCAAAGTCACCAAGGCATCCATGACGTCATAATGACGTTATTAGAATCCTGTCATTCCACTGGTGATGCGGCAATCAAGGCCAATAAAAAACGTTGTTGAGCATGTTCACTAAGTGGATAACTTGTGCTGCCTAGAGCAGTCTTTTCCACTTAAAAGTATACCAATAGTGATGCGGGAGTTTATTTCATTGCATGTTATGCTTGCTTTAATATTTTCGGATGTGGAACAGTTCCTTTAAGTGGAAAGTTTCGTACCCTATGTTACGAGCTCCGGTCCCGCCCGGCAAGCTGATCCGATGCCTGTGATTTAATGTGTTCTTCAGGTAATGCGTTTTGGGGTGTGGTGCGTAAAATAATTGCAGTAGCTTGTAAATGTGACACTGATCCGCAGTAAATGCGTGTGTAGGGTATACCTAGGCCCGTTTGAATCGTCGCATGATTAACACCATGCCGTTTCTGATAGGTGGAGGAGCTTGTGAAGGAGATGGCGAACGTGCTAAATAAGCAGCTGTCTGAGCGACACCGCGCGGATAGCCAGCTGATGCTATTGCAGCTCAACGTGGCCACCCAGTGAGTGGCGGGCTGCTCTCAGGATGCCGCACAATAGCTGCGCTCCGAATGACGTCACTGGTATAGGTACAGCGTGAAATGCCGTAGACGTGCTTGGAGGCGATGTATTTGACGCGATGGTTTTGCACACCTAGTACCTGCGAATGCATCCTCATCACTTGTTGCACGCCCGTAGCCTGTTCAGCAGTCGAAGCCAACGCAACTTGTCATGCAGTGCTCCGATTATACATCACTGTTCATCACCCCAAACGTACGTGGTACTCACAGACTTACACATGTGAGACGCCAGGTGTTAGTAGCTGCGGCGTATGTTCATCGCCAATGTCCGTCAAGTTAGTGATTTATTCAGCGATTTATTCAACAACGGGTTTCGATTTCTCTGAAAAAGGTCTTAAGAGAATTTTGGCACGAGAACATCGAAATGACCTTTATTTTGCAATATCACGTGATCTTCGAGGCCAAGAGCTGGGCCAAAAGACGGGGAACTCGAAATCACCAAAAAATTACCGGCCGATTTGCAAACTGCAAGCATCAAAGTATTCACAAGAGCAAGAGCTAGTGTCCGTCAAAAAGTCCTGACCTCTCAAGGTCATCCTTCAAGGTCAAACGCGAGCTCAAAGGACGGGAACTCCATATCACCCAAAAATCGTCCGCCATTTTTAAACCCCCGGAACCAAAATGTTCACTACGGAAAGGACTAGTTGTTCAGTACATTAGCGAGGAACATTATTCACATAGACAAGACAGAAGTATTAGCCTTTTTCCTCGGAAAAACCGGGAGAATGGAGGCATAGTTAAGTTGGTATTTCGGCAATACGCCTTTATCGAAAATACTACTGTCTTGTCTACAGAAAGGACTTGTGTCTATCAAAAAGTGTTGACTTCTCAAGCTCACCCTTTAAGGTCAGACACGAGCTCAAAGGACAGGAAATTCAAAATCACCTAAAAATTACCGGCCGATTCTAAACTTGCAAACACCAGAATATTCACCACAGAAGGAACTAGTGTCCGTCAAACTGATCCCCGTCCGTTGAGCCCGCGTTTGAGCTTCGAGGGTGATCTTGGGAGGTCAGGACTTTTTGACAGACGCTAGTCCTTGTAATAGTCAATGTTTTGGTCCTGGCAAGTTTAAAATTGGCCGGTAATTTTTAGGTGGTATGAAGCTCTCCGCCATTTGGGCCCGCTTTGGCATTCAAAGGTGACCTTGAGAATGCAGGACTTTTTAACGGACGCTGATTGTTTCTGTGTGGAACATTCTGATATTTGCGTGTTAAAAATCGGCCAGTACTTTTTGGGAGATGTTGGGTTACCGTCCCTTAAGCCTAGGTTTAACCTTGACGGATGACCTTGAGAGGTAAGGATTTTTGACGGACATCAGCTATTCAACTTGTAAATATTTTTTTATGTTTTCATGTTTAAAGTCGGCCGGTATTTTTTAGGTGACATTGAGCTCTCCGTCCTTTGAGCCCGCGTTTGACCTTGAATAATAACCTTGAGAATTCAGGGCTTTTTGACGGACGCTAGTTCCTTTTTTGTTGATTTTTCTGACGTTTGCAAGCTTAAAGTCGGCCTTTCACTTTTGGGTAACCTTAAGTTCCGCGTCCTTGGAGTACGTGTTTGACCTTAAAAAGATGACCTTAGGAGGTCAGGAACTTATGACGGATGTTATTTTTTGCGGTGAATATTCTCATATTTGCAAGTTTGAAATCAGCCGGTAATGTTTGGGTGATATTGAGTTCTCTGTTCTTTGGGCCCGTGTTTGACCTTTAAGGGTGACCTTGAGGGGTCAGGACTTTCGGACGGTCACTAGTTGTTTTTTTAGATTCTGTTGTTTGCGAATTCGAAATTCGACGGTAATTTTTGAGTGGTATTGAGTTCCTAGTCCTTTGAGCCTACGTGCTACCTTGAAGGATGACCTTGAAAGGTCAGGACCTTTTACGGACGTTAGTTTTTTCTGTGGTGGATATTCTTATATTTGAAAGACTAAATTCGGCCGGTAATTTTTGGATGGTATGGAATTCCCTGTCCTTTGGGTCCACGTTTAACATTGAAGGTTGACCTTGAGAGGTCAGAACTTTTTGACGGGCGCTAGTTCTTTTGTGTTGAATATTTCGATATTTTCCAGTCTAAATGCGGCCGGTATCTTTTGGGTGATATTGTGTTTCCCATCTTTTCTGCTTGCGTTTGACCTCGAAGGATGATCTTGAGGGGTGAGGATTTTTGACGAACTCTAGGTCTTTCCGTGTTGAATATTCTGATGTTTACAAGATCAAAATTGGCAGCTAATTTTTGAATGAAATGGAGTTCCCCGTCCCTTGAGTCTGTGTCTGACCTTGAAGAATCACTTTGAGAGGTCAGGACTTCTTTATGTGCGCTAGCTCTTGCCCTTGTGAATATTTTAATGCTTGCAGTTTACGAGTGGACCGGTTTTTTTGGTAATATCGAGTTCCTCGTCCTTTGACCTAGCTCTTAACCTCGAAGGTTGCATGCTATTACAAAATAAAGGTCATTTTTGATGATCTCATACCATATACCATCTTGCGACCTTTTCGAGAGAAATTGGAACTCGTCGCTGAGTGAATTGTTGGGCAAATCGCCAACTTTACAGACATCATACGCCACTGGGTTATATTTTTTTTCGGATCAGGTGGATGCCAGTCGGTGGCTGCTGTAGCAAACACATTCTCGCCCGGTGACCCAGCGCCGAAGCTCGGAGGGAGTGTGAGGAGGCATGGCAAATTCATACGGCTGCATCCTTTATTTCAGGGAGGGGATTGAAAACATCTCGATGAACTTCTTTGAAGTGGAAAAACGAACGGCTTGGGAGCAGATCTTCAACGAGACTAAGCAGAAACTAGGTAAGTATGAGTTATTGTCGTTTCCGGCCTTCTGTCTTGGAATTCGCGGCACCTTGACATGCATCATGTATGATTGGCATGTGGTCAGATGAATGTGAGCTGTGCATAAAAGAAATGCATATCCATGACACCCATACCTTTCTACTCTGATCATTGCTCACTGGTGGATTTAATGTGTTTTAGGGACAAGATGTACTACACAATAAGCATTGCGCTAGTGCAGACGATATTTGAGCAAAGCTGCTTGCGCAGCCCCGAAGCGTAAAAGTATCTAGGCTTTGGTTTTTCCGAACGATCTTTCAGCCTTTATTTGGGTAAAGGCAATGCCCCAATAATACAAAGCGATCACCTACACGCCGTAGACACGTTCGCTGCAGTGGCCGCTCGGGGCGAGGCTTGACCAGCACTAAATGGTTTAGTACATGTGGTTCCCTTGCGCGTTGGCCGTGTCAGTGGCGTCGGACCACAAGCCTGCGGGATGTCGTGCGTGTCTGCCGCCGGCCCTCGCCCGGGCGCTGAGCGGGCGTGACGCCTGCGCCGCAGCGCTGTCGGCCGACCGGCGGGCCGTGCCTGAATTCCTGTACCCGCTGCCGATCCGCAAGACCCGGGCCGGCCTGCAGTTCACGTGCGCTGCGGCCACACTCAGCGCCAGCCCGCAGCACCGCAGCGACGTCTGGGTCTGCAACAGGTGAGCGGCCGCCGGGACAGGCTGCGGCCCGAGGGCCGGCCCGCAGTTCACGTGGGCTGCGGTCCCACTCAGCGCCAGCCCGCAGCACCGCAGCGACGTCTGGGTCTGCAACAGGTGAGCGGCCGCCGGGACAGGCTGCGGCGCGAGGGCCGGCCGGCTCCCTGTCCCAGAGGCCGGGCGACTCGGATACCTGTGCGGCTGTGCTGCACCATCGTGCTGGAGGAGCTCGACCACGTTCAACTCGCAGCTCAGTTCCCCTTCCCGCCTCACAAAGAGCCTGCGTCATCAGTCCACATGCTTACGATAAACAAGGCTATACCAAAAATAAAAGAAAATACCATCATTCAAATCCTATGGGAAAGAGCATTTGGTCGCAACATAACTAGATGAACCCAAGACAGAGCGCCAGCTGATTTGGCAGAACTACACCCCTGCCCAGTCGATCTGTTCACTATTATGCTGGCACGGAGGGATATGTGGTTATACCATTATGCACGGTCGCTGTTATGTTTGGCGCGCAGTCCGCTGGCTGACAGTGAACCATATGGAATGTGACCCGGACGGCGGCGGAGTCGGGCATTTCACGCGAAAACCCACACCCAGGCTAAATCGGACCGTTCCACACCCCAAGTGGACATTCTCTGGAGCGGCCATTCCGGCAGATGGGGTGCTCGTGCTTTGGACCCCTTAACATTATCATTAGGTAATGGTGGTGATGCATCAAAACTTGCTGATAATACATCATAACGCGTCATAAGCACAGTTTGGACAAATATGTTGGGAAGATGACTCGGACGGGGTTCGGTCACACGACCGGTCCCCTCAGCGCCATTTTACCACCAGATTTGGGTCACCGGCCGGCTTGCGCAGCTCATTGGGCGTTTTTCCTTGCACGTATGACCGCCACGCAGGACCGCCACGCAGGACCACCACACCGATAGCACCGCAGGACCACCATGCTCAGTGATCTTGATATCTGTTGTGGATACTGTCCCACAATACGCAAATCAGCTTACACTGCCAGCTATGCGCGGGTACCAGTGACAACTATTAAATGTTGTATTTTTTTATGGTATATATTTTAGATTATGTATCCTTATGTGTCCACATTTTATGCTTGCGGGTTTTTGTGAGCTACAGCTGAAGGCAGTCTGTAACTGGCAAACAATCAATACACAAAACACAAATTTCCCGTGCAGTTTTGTTTGCTGCTTCTATGCCATGGAATGACATGAGCATGCCGTTTTAGTCGGGGTGACTCGCTGCCAGGTTGGGGAGCTCGGCCGCGTGTGTGTGTGGGGGGGCTGGGGATGGAGCAGCTTTGGCTGACTGCAGCGGTACGTCGCTGGTTCACAGGCGTGATGTGCCTTGCGCGAGGCGTCGCGGCTGATTTGCGCGCCCACCATGTGTCACGTGACACTTCTCCCCTGGTAAATGGCGCGTAGTCACGGCGCGTCGCTGCTTCTCACCGTGGTGAGAGGCAGGTCAGACAGACGGCGGCGCCGCTGAGCCGACGTTACGGCCGCTGGGGCCGGCCTCCTCTGACCGGACGCTCCGTGCTACAGTGACGGCTACGTCGGCCAGATCTGCGTACTGAGCCTGCGACCTGAGCCCACCGTTACCTCCTGCAACGGCGTGTGCAACTCACGCATCCTCTGCATAGCGCCCGTGCCCAGTGCGCAGGCCAGGTGAGCGCTGCAGGCATCAGGAATGTCCTGACATGACACGCGGTCATGGATGGCATGGAGGCTAGTTACCAGAGCCCAGCATTATCATCACCATGCAGCTGGCCTGATGTCTAGTCTCGCATTGCTTTTAAAGCTGCTCGTTAGATCATTTCTTGCAGATGAATATTTATATATGCTGTGGATACTGTTCTACGATCGACCGTAATACCATGAACTGCCAGCCTACGATGTTTTTCCTCTTGCAAGGGGGCTTTGCAAATACAATGGCAGAGATAGGCTGACATGAACGGACTCACGCCCCTGCCTCAGACCGGGCGTATTGAAATCCGCACTAGTTAAGTGCGACCTGACCGAGGTGCTCCGCCGCAGGCACAGCGGATTGAGCTTGCTGCCTGTCCCCACAGGTAGGATCGAAGTCGAGCTAAACGAGACGCCCTCCGTCCCCACAGGCAGAGAGAATCAGAGGCGAGATAAACAAAACGCTCTCGTCCCGACGGATAGAGAGAATCAGAGGCGAGCTAACCGAGACGCTCCCGTCCCCACAGGCGGAGAGAATCAGAGGCGAACTAACCGAGACGCTCTCGTCCCGACAGGCAGAGAGAATCAGAGGCGACCTAACCGAGACGCTCTCGTCCCGACAGGCAGAGAGAATCAGAGGCGAGCTAACCGAGACGCTCTCGTCCCGACAGGCAGAGAGAATCAGAGGCGACCTAACCGAGACGCTCTCGTCCCCACAGGCAGAGAGAATCAGAGGCGAGCTAACCGAGACGCTCTCGTCCCGACAGGCAGAGAGAATCAGAGGCGACCTAACCGAGACGCTCTCGTCCCCACAGGCAGAGAGAATCAGAGGCGACCTAACCGAGACGCTCTCGTCCCGACAGGCAGAGAGAATCAGAGGCGAGCTAACCGAGACGCTCCCGTCCCCACAGGCAGAGAGAATCAGAGGCGAACTAACCAAGACGCTCCCGTCCCGACAGGCAGAGAGAATCAGAGGCGACCTAACCGAGACGCTCTCGTCCCCACAGGCAGAGAGAATCAGAGGCGAGATAAACAAAACGCTCTCGTCCCCACAGGCAGAGAGAATCAGAGGCGAGCTAACCGAGACGCTCTCGTCCCCACAGGCAGAGCGAATCGGAGGCGCGCGCTGGGGTGTCGCCGGTCCCTGATGCCTCCGCCCAGACTGCGAGCCTGGAAGAGAAGGCTGGCACCAATATCGACCTGGACAGGTGCGGCTGGCTCCAGTGGGGGGGGGGGGGGGGGGCAATCTTACACACTGACATCCAGCCCAGTCCAGAAGTGAGCTTCGATCTGGCGTAGCGGTGCATTCCCCGGCGACGTTCACTATGTAGTCGCTGTGAAGGATCCGACGCTCAGCCCACGACTTTGGTGTTCGTACAGTGGGCTGGCGGAAAACTTACCCGCAATTTTCGCCCCGACAGATACTATATCTAGGTACTTATAACTACCAGGTACTAGGTACTTATAACATAAGGTATACCTTTTGCCAATGCCCTTTTTCTGAAGTGCTTAGCGCCCCAAAGTTGTTATGTAATTCCCTTGCGCAGTTTGTGTCAATCTGACGAAGCGAGGCCCATGTGAGCTGATTACTAGCAGGAAAACACAGCGTTTAGTTGGAGCAGTTTTCGGCCGCGTGCGCTGAGGGCGACGATGCAGAGGCCGCTTGCAAACCAGAACAGCGTTTTTCACACGAAGCCAGCACATTAAGGAACTCACAAAACCATTGAAATAAAAAGAGAGATGACGCACTATGAGAAAATTCGTGGCAGAGCACAACAAAGCACGCTTCTTCTCCTCACAATTATGGCGGTATGCACAAGCGATGGCGTTTTCCTCCACCTTAACAACGCAACACGCACCCTCTCACTTAGCGCATACCGACCGTGACGGCGTCCCCGCCTCCGTGCCGACCGTGACGGCATCCCTGCCTCCGTGTCGACCGTGACGGCATCCCCGCCTCCGTGCCGACCGTGACGGCGTCCCTGTCTCTGTGCCGACTGTGATGGCGTCCCTGCCTCCGTGCCGACCGTGACGGCATCCCCGCCTCCGTGCCGACCGTGACGACATCCCCGCCTCCGTGCCGACCGTGACGGCATCCCCGCCTCCGTGCCGACCGTGACGGCATCCCCGCCTCCGTGCCGACCGTGACGGCATCCCCGCCTCCGTGCCGACCGTGACGGCGTCCCTGCCTCCGTGCCGACCGTGACGACATCCCCGCCTCCGTGCCGACCGTGACGACATCCCCGCCTCCGTGCCGACCGTGACGGCGTCCCCGCCTCCGTGCCGACCGTGACGGAATCCCCGCCTCCGTGCCGACCGTGACGGCATCCCCGCCTCCGTGCCGACCGTGATGGCGTCCCCGCCTCCGTGCTGACCGTGACGGAATCCCTGCCTCCGTGTCGACCGTGACGGCATCCCCGCCTCCGTGCCGACCGTGACGGCGTCCCTGTCTCTGTGCCGACTGTGATGGCGTCCCTGCCTCCGTGCCGACCGTGACGGCATCCCCGCCTCCGTGCCGACCGTGACGACATCCTCGCCTCCGTGCCGACCGTGACGGCGTCCCCGCCTCCGTGCCGACCGTGACGGCGTCCCCGCCTCCGTGCCGACCGTGACGGCGTCCCTGCCTCTGTGCTGCAGCTCGACCGACTCGTCCGACTCGGACGACTCCCGGCCGGACGAGGGTCGGTCGGCTGCTGATGAGGCCCGCCTCCAGGACCAGCCCACCATGTGGCTCGGCACCGAGGACGGCTGCGTGTACGTCTACAACTGTGCCGACTACGTGCGCATTAAGAAGACCAAAGTAAAGGTGCAGCTGGGCTCGGCAGCGCACGCCATCGTCCATCTGGACGGCCGCGTCTTCGTGGCGCTCGCCAACGGCACTGTGTCTGCCTATAGACGCACCGAAGGTGAGAAGCGCCTGGAGGTCCGCCCACCCCCGCCTCGCAGGTGAGAAGCTCCGTGGAGCTTCGCTCAGAGCCGCGCTTTAGGTAAGAATCGCCAGGGCGTTTCGCAGGATGTCGCAGAGGCCATTTGTGCCTTGCAAAGCAGGATCGCGCTTTCCTCAGATGATGCAGACGGGCACAAGCGACCTTTTAAAGGAATGCAACGCGCGTCGTCCCGCATCCTCTTATGGAGTGTCAGCGACTGCAGAGGCTATTTAACGCTCAGGGGTCATGTTGCCAGCGGGGTTTGAGCCCAGTGCGCCCCCGTGGGAGCGGAAGGCGCTAACCGCTCAACCATTACGTTCATGGCACCGGGGATTTGATGGCAAGCATGTATTAGTCTATACGACACTGGCAGATTCGAGGGGGAGAGTAACGTGCTCATGGCCCCTAAGACGGTGAAAATATCGCCGTTTTCTGGTTTTGCCGTGCATTGAAGGGAAAGAATCGGGTCTGGTCCTATCAAAGGTTGAGAACTGGACCACCAATGTGTAACGAATCGTTGCTAGTGGCGGACTACACGCAGTGCTGTCCGTATATCGATATAATGTCAACTTCGGGCATATGAACATTCAAATGTTATCTTGTGCGTCTATGTTTCTTATGTTTATATATTCCTGCACCTGTCTCATTTAAAATGATGTGTTTGTCCACCAGGAAGTAACTGGGACATGCAGTGCCCGGAAGTGATCCAGGTGTCCTCAAGTCCAGTCAACCGGCTGGTGGTGGTGGCAGGAAGGCTGTGGGCCTGCTCGCAGAACCGGATACGTATCATCGACCCGGCCACGAATGTCATAGAGGTCAGTGGAAGCCAACGCCACGCCTCACATATGCTCAATCCACCACCAGCCACTGCCACACTTCACATATGCTCAATCCACCATTAACCACTGCCACAATTCACATGCGCTCATTCCACCACCAACCCCCACAACGTTCCACATATGCTCAATCCACCGCCAACCACCGCCACACTCCACATATGCTCCTTCCACCACCAACCACCACAACGTTCCACATATGCTCAATCCGCCACCAACCACCGCAACATTCCACATATGCCCAATCCGCCACCAACCACCACAACGCTCCGCATATGCTCGATCCACCGCCAAACACCGCCACGCTTCACATTCTGGGGAAAGCTGTCAATTCAATGGAAAACACAAGCGGGGACACTGGTAGTCAGATATTCCGCCTCTGTCAATTAATGTGGGTACAGAACACGCTTCAGATGTCGCCACAGTGGTCCAGGATGCGTAACAGCTGAACATTTAGCAGGTAGTCAGTGGTCCGGTCGATTGTCCACTGTGATGCACCCCATATAAAGTCTGAAGGTAACCTAAAGCTTTTAAAGGTTTACTGACTTGTCCAGGGAACCTTAAACCACATCCACGTGGACGTGGTTGGTGAAGTAACACCACCATATGAGGTCTGCAGAGGTGACAGGTTGGGCGAGTGAGGAGATACGGCACGGCAGTCTTCATTTTCATTCGGGGAGATAGTTATCAAATCAACCCACTGAAGTCCGTGCCGTGTGCGGTGCCAGTTACCCCTTCCTATTGAAGCCACCCCTAATCCCGATCGATTCCGTGGAGTCGCACCAGGGCTGCACAGAAAGGTGTCAGGTAGTGGTGGTAGCGTATGGTACTGCTCTGAGGTGGTTTCGACGAAATGCTCGTCCTCGTCCACAAAGAGGCATCTCTGCAGTCATTATTTGACGGATGCCAGCTCAGTGATGACAATCACTGTTTGGGATTATGTTTCAAGCGACATTTGAGGACCAGGCCCTGTAAGCCAGGATCCTCTAATGCGACTTTCGGTCAGCCCTTCTGGTCCTTGATCGCCAGCCCAAAGGGCTCTTAGGGCCCCTCAGGACCTGTGGCCAGGGAGGGGACATATGCCTCTGTGCGCGTTCTGTATGGGACCCTTCGGCTACTTGCCCCAAGCTCACAACGCCAGCGTGCAATGAATTATTCCTTTTTCACGCGTGACGTGCTGTGACCGGATGTATGTGCCGATGTTACGCTGACCGGATGTATGTGCCCCGCTTACGCTGCCCTTGAACTCCAGAAAACGGTGGTGGTGAACAGCGACAGCCAGGCGACCATCCAGTCTCTGGTGCCGTCCGGCCTGGGTGTGTGGCTTAGCTTCCACAACCTGGGCACGGTGCGGCTGTTCCACACCATGACGTTCGAGATGATCTGCGAGGTGGACGTCACTGCGGCCGTCACCCGCATGCTGTCAGGTGAGCACGCACCCCGGCGGGACCGGGCGGCCTCGTCAGGGCCGGTGTCAGGCTGCCAACAGGGCACCATCCCGGGTGACCTCGTCAGGGCCGGTGTCAGGCTGCCAACAGGGCGCCATCCCGGGCGACCTCGCCAGGGCCGGTGTCAGGCTGCCGACAGGGCACCATCCCGGGTGACCTCGTCAGGGCCGGTGTCAGGCTGCCAACAGGGCACCATCCCGGGTGACCTCGCCAGGGCCGGTGTCAGGCTGCCAACAGGGCGCCATCCCGGGTGACCTCGCCAGGGCCGGTGTCAGGCTGCCAACAGGGCACCATCCCGGGTGACCTCGCCAGGGCCGGTGTCAGGCTGCCAACAGGGCACCATCCCGGGTGACCTCGCCAGGGCCGGTGTCAGGCTGCCAACAGGGCACCATCCCGGGTGACCTCGCCAGGGCCGGTGTCAGGCTGCCAACAGGGCACCATCCCGGGTGACCTCGCCAGGGCCGGTGTCAGGCTGCCAACAGGGCACCATCCGGGTGACCTCGCCAGGGCCGGTGTCAGGCTGCCGACAGGGCACCATCCCGGGTGACCTCGCCAGGGCCGGTGTCAGGCTGCCAACAGGGCACCATCCCGGGTGACCTCGCCAGGGCCGGTGTCAGGCTGCCAACAGGGCACCATCCCGGGTGACCTCGTCAGGGCCGGTGTCAGGCTGCCGACAGGGCGTCATCCCGGGCGACCTCGCCAGGGCCGGTGTCAGGCTGCCTACAGGGCGCCATCCCGGGCGACCTCGCCAGGGCCGGTGTCAGGCTGCCAACAGGGCGCCATCCCGGGTGACCTCGTCAGGGCCGGTGTCAGGCTGCCAACAGGGCACCATCCCGGGTGACCTCGCCAGGGCCGGTGTCAGGCTGCCAACAGGGCGCCATCCCGGGCGACCTCGCCAGGGCCGGTGTCAGGCTGCCATCAGGGCCCCATCCCGGGTGGCCTCATCAGGGCCGGTGTCAGGCTGTTGACAGGGCGCTATCTGTCGGCCGACGCCATCATTTCGTTGTTCTTTACAACAGAATGCTTGCGTTCGGAGCGCATGCAGGAGCGCCATCTGGATGATCAAAATGAAAGTAGAGCCTGGACCGACCTTGCAGCGAACGCCGCGTCGTCGATTCACCCGGCGCGCCAGTCCGGAGCCGCGTGTCCGGCTCCGTCCCGTGCTGCGACACCGGAATGTGGCCCGCCCCGGCCGCCAGCGAGCGTGTGACGGCCGGCGGCCGGCTCACCGCTGCTGACCCCGACCGCTCGCCCGCAGGCTGTGACGACATCATCCGGCAGCACAAGACGGCGTGTCTGCGCGTCACGGCACTCATGGTGTGCAAGGAGCTGCTGTGGATCGGCACGTCGGCGGGCGTGATCCTGAACCTGCCGCTGCCGCCGCTGACGGCCTCCACCAGCTGGCTCACCAACACGCTGAGCATCGCCGGTCAGCTGCCGCCCGGCCGAGCCCGTTTGGACAGGACCGGTGCTGTCACTGGTTAACTGAACAGTTACAGTAGCTTGAAGCTTGAAGTGAGGAATTGGCCAGGTCGTGGCGTGAGCAGGACGCTAGGAGTAGGTAGGATTGGCCCTGGATCAAAACCCTCAAACAGGTATTCGGTGAGCTGTATGCTACGGAACTATTTCGGCCTCTCTCTCCAAGCGAAACCACGCTGGGATGCAAGCTCATTATTTGTAACTCATCTTTTACGTTTGCAACGCCCCTTTTCGCATCGATTCCAGCAGGCGTTGAGATCGAACTGATCGGCTCGAAGCATTCGGTCGCACTGTCCATGTGTGCCGCGGTGGCAAACGCCGGCCGCCGACAGTGCCCGCCGGGGTGATCGTGTTTGCCAGAGGAAGGCCTGCAGTGAGCTGCACTGAAGGCTCGTGCCGACAACCTCACGCAGGCGCAGTCACTGACACTCGCTACCCCTTACACTTCTGGCCTGTTTCCTGAGCTCCCCAGCGTAGGGCACCGTCCAGACCAGCAGAACGGCCGTTTTATGGGGGTTTGTTTAGTGGCGGGTATCCAATCGTCATGTCTCAGCGTATGGTGGCGCCTGCAGGGATCTCGCACGGCCACACGGGCCACGTGCGTTTCCTGGCATCGGTCGAGTCCGTGGTGGAGGTGGCGGCACCAGCCCGCTACCGACACGCCCGGAGCGCTCTCAAGGCCAAGGACAAGCTGCCGCACAAGGTGAGCCGGTCCGCGCCTGGAGCGGCCACGGACCCAGCCGCATATTGCGCACGCCCCCAGCCTAACCAAACCAAACCTAAGCGATTTAGTGCTTCATATTCTCAGGAACGCGGTGGGGAATGCAGTGAGAGTACTTTTAAGACAAGCGATCTGTTTGAGAAGCAACATAATGTCAAGTAGTTGTCCCTGAAAAAAGAAAACTAGCCCATGAAACTTGGCCGATGACATTGTAGCTTTGTCGCCCCCCCCCCCAAACTTGAGCGTGTCCCGATGCTGCGAGTGACAAGCTGCTGCGTCTCCAGGCTGCTGCCGGAAAGGTGCTGGTCATCTCCGGCGGCGACGGATACGAGGACTTCCGGTCATCCGGCTCGGAGCTCTCTGGTCGAGACGACTCCACCAATCACCTGCTGCTGTGGCGGGTGTGAGCGCGCCAGCTGGCGAATGTTGTCAGACGCGTGCCAGCCCCACCGCCTGGGGCAAGATGTGTGGTGAAAGGTCAGCCGGTCTGACCCCAGAACGCTTTACAGTGGTCGCAACGACCGCAGACAACGCGGAAATGCAGAACTCTTGTTAAACGCGCAATGTTGGTGAAGCCATGGCATGCCTGTCACGTGATCCGTTGGCTAGTATCATCGCCTAACCAGCTCTGAATGAAACGTAATTGTGTTGCGCGGACAGCGGGAGATCGGTAATGCTGCTGCTCCTTGGTCCACGCGATAGGCACACTAGGCGCTCACGGCGGGTCAGGTTTTTGTATAAGATAAACACACACTGCAGTGTTTTAATCATTGCAGTTCACACGCCATGCCTTTCTTGTCGCCAACGGCCGAAACACTAATGCACACTTGGTTTGACGTCTTTCCGCCAGACAGTTCCCTCGATCGACAAAGCCGTCCTGTCCGACGAAAGCTAGCGAGCTCATTGCAGTTTACCATTGACACGTTAGTATTCGTGGCATGCACGTACGTGATGGCCATACCAGTTAACCCTCGGTTATCCGCCCGTATCAGCAGCGATGTTTTGAGGACACTGACACGCGTCAGGTTTATGTGTTTTCATTCGCATGTGCACTTATCGTAGACTTTTCAATATATCGTGGAACGGTGGGCTGACGCGTTTTTGTAACAAAGGGTGCGAAGGGTTTTGTAACTTCTTTATTAAACTTGTCGGTGTTGGTGGCCAAGTGTATTGCTTCCTAACCTCTTCATGGGGACGTGTACAACCGGTAATTGGCGGGAAAATGGCGCGTGATTACGTGGGCGGTTTCGGCGCCATCTACCCGCGACACGCTAAACTGGCAGCAACCGCGACAGTACGCAAACAATATGACGTCACACCTGCTTGAACGCCAGCGGTGTCGTGATCATCGTAAGCCCTTTCTTACCTTTATTTCTCTAAATATGATGGGCATGGAACAATATCGTCGTCCCGCTACAAAATAGCCTTTCGCCTTCTGCCTGTTTTAGATCCTCCGACATTGCTTTTGTACGACGTTGTTAATGTCAAGATAATTTATGTACTTCACCGATAAAACGTTAGCATACTGATTGTGAATCTAATGGTCAAATTGTAATATGCAGTGGTACAGCTTCCTGTAACATTTGCGAGAGGCTGACCACAAAAGAAAATTTCGGGCAGAAGCCAATGCTGCGCGCGCAGACTCTGGACGGGAGGGGATGGGAGGGGGAAGTCTAATGTTGCGCGCGAAACGTGAGAGGAGTACGCAACCCTAGGGGTTGAAGGTAAACTACAAGTGCGTTCTCAAATGAGGTGCTTACGATTTGAACCACTAGGTTTTATGGTTTATTCAATAGGGATGAATGACTGCGAGCATCCATACCACCCGACGCCTGTAGAATCCATGACACCCTAATGGCGGTAAATTCCAAATTCGATAGTTTGTCTTACACTGCTGTAAAAGATACTGACAAAGTTGGGCAATTTTGAAACGTTTCCTGATAAATGGCGCGTCACGTGCATTACTTTCCGTGATAAAAAATGATCTCAGGATGGCTTGACTGTGGCGGTGCAATGGCGCATGTAACTTATTGGCCAGACAATTATGCATGCGGCGCATACCCCGTCCCCGTCAGGTCCAAGGTAATTATGCACGCGGGCGTATACCCAACCTCGTCAGGTCTAAGGTAATGATGCATGCGGGCGCATACCCCGACCCCGTCAGGTCCAAGGTAATAATGCATGCGGGTGTATACCCCGACCCCTGTCAGGTCTAAGAGAGCCGTCACGGCTTGACGAAAGCAAGGGATAGAACATTGGGAGCACATGAGGAGGGCCTGGAGGGATCCTTTCCTACGAAAGGATTTTGCTTTAGAGAGACATGTGGTCCTCAGGGATGGAGAGGCAAGCCGTTCCAGCCGTTCTGGCCACGGGCCCCTTTCAGGGCCGCTCGTGCTCAGATTGTGCCTATGAGGTTCCTAATATCGAAATTACGTAGAAAATAACCCCATGATGATCAGCGGATCCGAAACGACATGAGACCAGGAAGCCTCAGGGAGACGGCCAGGTACTGCCATTTACGCCGGACGAGTGCCGAAATTTGGAGAGCCCTTCTTACTCTCACGAGGCCTACCACAAGACAGTCGTCCTGTCAAAACCTGGGTTGGCTTCCAAGTTTGAAACTACACCAGCAGCCAGACTGCGTGCAGTCTGCTGGCCGTGTGTTGACAGAAGTGACGCGGGCTAAACCGACGGCACTAATGGCTCATGCAACAATGGGACGTAGGTAGTGAGTCAAGGGTTTTGGTCTTATGTATACGTTTCCGTCTTATGTTTTGGTCATGATGTTCCGCGCCTTATGTATACTGACGGCCCGTACAGTCTGTTGTTACAATTACGACTATTGTTCACGTGACGATTGTAGCTCGCGCACTCGATGCTGCAACGTCACCGTGAGACGCGCTGGAGCGTTCTCGAGCCAGCGCGCGCGAGTGCAGAGGGCGTCCGGTAACGCGCCTTGGCGTATAAATCTGACGCATACTGCGTACCGGCAGACCAGGCCTGGCCACGACCAGGGCCGCGACTCGGTACTGGTGCATCACAGCGCGAGCAAGCCCGACTGCTGCTGAGTTCTGAATACAAGTGACCTCTCTTTTTGAAGGATTGTGAGAAGAAGAACGTCAACACTTAAGGTGAAGCGTTACACAACTTGCGTTGCCCGTGCGCCTTTACGAAGGCCGGCTTTCATCCCACGCATGCCGCTGACCGTATTTTTGCGAGGTTTAGAAGCCGTGTTTCGAGGAGCTGTTTTAAGACGCGCCCGGGCGGCCAGTTCGATACCCTTCGCTCGGGTGGGGGTCAGTTTGACCCCTGAGATCTTAGGAACCAAGAGAGTTAGATGCACCAAATTAACAGGGGCGCTGAACTGTACGTGAACTCACATAGGTCAAAGCTTGAGGTTCTTAGGTCTTCTTGTCTTCTTGTCTTCTTAGGCCTTCGTGTCAAATAAGGTCAAACGAGGTCAAATTCCGGGTTGGTCTCAAAAATGCCCCCAGAACCTAGATAACTGCTCAAGAAAAAGGTCACATACTTATTTAAGGTCAGTGAGCTCGTTTGACCTCTCAGAGATCATGGTAACCAAAATCATACGAGGCTGCTTTGTTTTGCATTCGAATGAGCGACAAAGATCACGCTAGGCGGTATGTTCCTGAAAATAAAATGTTGACCTGGATCATTTTAGATTATTGACCTATTCTGACCCATATAAAATCCATGGAAGATATATAACGTGGTTCCTGTGATCAATAAGTTCGAAATGAGCACCAGAAACTACCCCATACAGCAAGCTTCAGAGAAAAAAAAACAGGTTGGTCTTGACCTTGGTCTGACCTTTATACCTGACCCTAGGTCAACGGAATTTGTTCATTTAACTGTTTTGTTGCCTAAGAAAGTATCTCAGAGATGTACGGCTGTCTGTAACACCTCGCTGTTGCATCAGAGTGAACGATTCCATAGAAACTGACCTCGCTGAATCCATGGTTTGACTTTGACCTACCATAGGTAAACGACCTCACAAAGTATATATGACTTTTTGATACCAAACATCCCGCTATTGCCGCGTCGTTCGGAAACTATTCGGAAACAACTTTCGAGGGTCAAATTGACCCCCCGAACGCGCGTTAAACAAGGAAAGGCCATCTTTTGTCACGAGGCACATATGTTGCCGCAGAAGACTGAACAAGTGGCGACCGACGCTATGACACATCCAGCCATGAACCAGGTTCACACGGGTGCTGCCCGAGACTTCGTACACATGGCAGTCTGGGAGCCCTCATCATCGCTGTTTTTGAGTGGGTGTGGCCAATCAAACTTTGTCCAGGGGTGGAGTAAATGGAATTATTGGAGCGCACCGCCACTCGCACAAACCGCACAGAGATTCATCAGCTGTACAATTAACGTTGTTCCGGCAAAAAGACATTGTCACAGCTACATATGGTGTCGCGGCTTGGCTATCTGCAATTCTACCCACATGCTACGTTAACGTTAAACATAGCAAAGCATACGCACGTTTCAAGAACGCAACATGTATGGCTCAACGCTCAGGGTGACTATACACCCAGGTATAGGGGCCGGACACTGTCAGGCCCCGCACACAGGTACGGGCAGACCACGACATGCCCCGCAGACAGGTAAGGACCGAGCACGGCCGGTCCGCAGACAGGTACAGACCGAGCACGCCGGAATGTAGGGGTGTAAGGACCGAGAACGGCCGGCCCGCAGACAGGCACAGACCAAGCACGCCGGAATGTGGGCGTGTAAGGACCGAGCACGGCCGGTCCGCAGACAGATGCAGACCGAGCACGGCAGGCCCGCAGACAGATACAGACCGAGGACGGCCGGCCCGCAGGCAGATCCAGACCGAGGATGGCCGGCCCGCAGGCAGACCCAGACCGAGGATGGCAGGTCCGCAGACAGATCCAGACCGAGGATGGCCGGCCCGCAGACAGATCCAGACCGAGGATGGCAGGTCCGCAGACAGATCCAGACCGAGGATGGCCGGCCCGCAGACAGATCCAGACCGAGGATGGCAGGTCCGCAGACAGATCCAGACCGAGGATGGCGGCATACAGAAAAGCGCGGGCCGAGCAAGGCGGCTGCGCATACAGGCAAGGGCCGGACACTGCCGTACGTGGATATTAGGCTGAGGCACGGTAGCTATGCGGCTGCCGTTAGCGGCAACACAACCACGGGGTACGAGGTCGTATAAGATTGAAGTGCACTGAAATGGCTTGCCGCCCGAAGTCACCGCGTTCATTATCATATCCGCCGTTAAACTCAACCCAATCGACTCGCCGGCCACATACATCTGCCAACACCAGTTGGTTCATAATGGGTCTGAAGACAGCGCGATACTCTTGCCGCCCTATTGCCAATAAGTCTCGTATGCGGGCCACCACATCATTGTCATTGTATTTTGATGGTTTGTCGCATAGATATCCAAAGCACGTTATCTATCTTCACCTCCAATTTCTATGGGATTGGCTCACTAATCACATGCAACCTCCGTAACCAGCTTTTTCGTTATCTGCACGACTTTTTCGATGGTCTGGTTGCCCCTTAGTACATTGTGTCCACCGGCCCGTCGCGTATTGAAGCATCCGCACTAGCTGCGCCACGCTGATGTGAAGCGAAGGTGAACCGGGCATCTCCAGATCTGCTCGCCTCTATTATGCAGCTTCCGGTGGGTGGAAGTCTGCAGTTGATTTGGGCTTTGATTACCAATCATTTCAATGTCGGGCGGTGGAACTCAGTGTTCACAAGGGCTGCGTTCTGTGGGGATCACGTGTCAAGTCTGCCGCAGAGCCGAGCCGGTATGACACAGTTCTTACGCGAGGCGCGTCCAGAAGACTGCCGCGCGAACATGTTGTCTCGAACCTACCCCTGGTGCCAACTAGAGGATGGCATCGTGATGTCGCCCGGTCGTGCACAGATGCCCGCAGCTCAAGAAGGCCTCCAGGAGCACTACCGCACCCATGGCATTGGCCGACACGACCCTGGGAGCGTGTTCATCTCGACTATCGTGCGGCGAAGGCTTCGATGTTTCTCATTCTGGT